AGAAATGCACAGTACAGGGCAAAGTTCATGGCCATCACCGAATTCCACAGCTATCTGTGACCGTCCCTTCCATAGAAGGTGTTAAATGCGTGCTCTCCACTCTGAGCAGACGCAGGGTATAGATCTCAAAAAGCAGGACAAGCGCCTGGGGAGATGACTCAGTGGGTAAAGTGCTTTCTGCACAAGCACAATGACCTGAGTTTGGATCCTCAAAATCATGTAAAGGTTGGGCATGGCATCTTTAACCCAGTGCTTGGTGGAAGAAGCAGGAGGATCCTGGGGGCTCACGGGCTAGCCAGTCTAGCCAAGACACCAAGCTTCAAATTCAGTGAGAGAGCCTGTCTCAAGAAATAAGGTGGACTGGGTGTGGTGGTACATGTCTTTAATCCTAGCACTCAGGAGGCAGGGGCAGTGAGACAGGGCAGCCTGGTCTACATAGTGAGTTCCAGGCCAGATACTGCTACAGGAAAACCCTGTCTCAAAAAAAGAAAGAAAAAAAGAAGGGAAGAAGGAAAAAAGGAGTAAAGGAGTCACTGAGAACATAGGGGTTGTGACAAACCACCCTCTTTGAACAGTTGAAGCCCAACAGAGCTTTCTAATAGCACTGAGTACTCACATTAGAGTTGATGTAAATTACTAACCCTGTATGAAATAGTCCATTGGCTCTTTCTACCCCACTTTAGTAGGAAGCCTGTGCTTCCATCATCTTCCATACAACAGAACTCTGTTTATTATATTTATTGCACATCACTGGGCATGTTGATTCATCCTCTCTAGTATGTGTATATGTGTGTGGGGGAGGTGGTATGTGTGAACATGTATGCCCAGGGAAATCAAGGTTGACATCACGTGTCCTTCAATCACACTCCACCCTATTTTGTTTGTTTGTTTTTGTTATTGAGACAGGGTCTCACTATATAGCCTTGACTGGCCTCAAACTTGGTATGTAGACCAGGCTGGCTTCGAACTCACAGAGATCTGCCTGCCTCTGCCTCCTGAGTGCTGGGATTAAAGGTGTGTACCCAGCTCTAGTTATATATTTTTTTAAAGTTTATTATTATTAGTGTGTGCATGATGTGTGTATGTGGGGCACAGTGTGTGTGTGTGTGTGTGTGTGTGTGTGTGTGTGTGTGTGAGTGTGTGTGTGTGTAGGTCAGAGAACAACTCGCAGGAGTTGGATCTCTCCCTCCACCATATGGGTTCCGGCGATGGAATTCAGATGGAGCTCAGACCTGGAAGTATAAGCACCTTTACTCACTGAGCCATTCTGAGGGCCCCAAGCCTTGTAACTATTAAAACAACCAGAAATTGTGTGAGCCTCCCACTCCTCCTCCTTTCACGTATTCTTGCCAGAAAGTCAGACCTGGATCAGATCATGTTTCCCAATCTGACTATACTGCCTACAGGAAATATAGGACACAGAGGAACACGCTAAATACGCCAGGAGCAAGCAATAAATGGAATCCAAAAAGGTGGGAGTCTATGGTCAAACTTGGTAGTTTGGAATAAATTACAAGGAAAAAGAAAGAGGATGAAGAATTTCTAGACTGAATGAGCTTTAAGATTAAGAGGCTGATCAATCGGGCTGGAGAGATGGCTCAGCAGTTAAGAACACTGGTTATTCTTGCAGAAGGCCTGGGTTCGAATCCCAGCACCCACAAGGCAGCTAACAACTGTCCATAACTCCAGTTCCAGGGGCTCCGACAGCCTCCTCTGTCCTCTGTGGGCATTGACGACACAGGTGCACTTACCTACATGCAGGCAATACATGGATACACGTAAAATAAAAATAAATAAAATATTTTTAAAAAGAGGCTGATCATTCAAAAGCAATTGAGCAAACACTATGTGAATTCTGGTTCATCAAAGTATAAATGAATGAATAAGATAAATGGAGATATTTGCAAATTGACTGGGTGATTGCTGATAATAAGGATTGTCAGCATTTTTAGAGGCAACCATGGTAGCATAGTTGTATGTGTAAGTGCAAGTCCTTGTCTCTTACAGATGCATGCTAAAATATTTAGAGTACAATGACAGGTCTGGACTGTGCTTCATAATGGTTCTGTGGTAACATGAGTTACCAAGGAGCAGCAGAGATAACAAGACTGGTCATGCGCTGACACGTGGCTGTCGCTAGCGGATGTGAGTTACTCTTAGTTTGCTCTCCATAACCCAAACACAAGCATGTGTTCTCACAGTAAGAAAAGGTAGGTGGAAGTGAGTGAGATACTTAAACCCCTAAGGGTTCTGGTCAGAGCTTAGTAGGTCAGAGGGAAGGGCAGATGGGGAACTGAGTGTGGAAAATTGACTTGGGTTGAAGCTATGCTTGATTCAATTTAGGGACATCTGGGTGAAGTCCAGATGAGAAATTGCTGGTATTGCGTCAGGATTTGGTAGTTTGGAGCCCTAAAACAATTGTGGCCAGGAGCATGCATAGGCTTTCAGAGGGCAGAGAATAATGGTTACACAACAAGGAATGAGCCACTTAGGGTTGGGAAGAAAAATAGAGGAAGCCATGGGAGCCCTGAGCCACAGAGGTAACTAACTGACCTAAGCTTGTAAACCCCAGGAACGCTTACCAGTTAGGATACTGTACTTCATTCTTGACACCTAGGGATTTTATTAATTGTTCTTTTTCTAATGAAGGTGGACAGAGTGTAGGAAGTACATTCAAAAGACATAATCAGGCCTGGCATCTCTGTAACTTGCAACCCAACTTCCCATAGGAAGTTGCGCAATGCTATGTTGAAATAGTTACAAAAGCTAGGGGCCGGCTCTTGGGTCTGGGTGCCCAACTCCATTCTGCATCGAGTTTGGACCAAACACTAAAGTGGCGTCACTGGTCCCATGTGGGAGGAGGCTTACAGCTTTGTTCCTCAGATTGTATCAAGGAACTAGCAAGGGAGCAGGTAGAGAAACAACTCTGTTCTCTACCATTTTGGCCATGGCCAGATCATGTTGGGGCACCTCACCCCTCTAGTTTTCTGTTTTCTCCACCAGTTGATCTGGGCAGTCAGCACACATTGCTTCAGTGGATAAGTCTATAGAAGTGATGGTATTCAAACTTTGATCCTCATCTACCTTAGAGTGTGAGTCTTTTGTTTATTTGGTGCTGGGACTTGAACCCAGGGCCTTGAGCATGCTAGGTGTTTTAGTTACTTTTCTGTTGTGCTAAAACACCATGACCAAGGCAACTTGGAAAATAAAGTTTATTTTGATTGCGGTTGCAGAGAGATGAGTCCTTCAAGGCCAGAAGGCATGGCAGCAGAGGTGGCCACAGCAGAAAGCTGAGCACTGGCATCATCAAGCACTGCAGAAAGCAGAGAGAGCTGAACTGGAAGTGGGGCAAAGCTGTGGACTCCCACCCCCAAGTGACGTGCTTCCTCTAGCTAGGCCATACCTCCTGAAGGTTCCATGACCCTCCTGAAACAGTGCCACCAGCTAACCAAGTGTTCAAATACTTGAGCCCATGGAGCACCTTCTCATTCAAACCACATTAGGTGTAAACCCTGCCTCCTGAGCTACACCCTTAAACCAAAGTCTTGCTTTTACTGATTTACTACTACCTCTGCTGGTAGTAAGAATGGAACAAAAAAGCCGAATGAGGTGCACGCCTTTAATCTCAGCACTTGGAAGGCAGAGGCAGCTGGATCTCTGTGAGTTCAGACTGGTCTACATAGTGAGTTCTAGACCAGCTGGGGCCATAGGGAGACCTTGTCTCAAAAAGACCAAAGGGGGAAAAAAAAAAAAAAAGAAGAATGGAACAAAGAAATGATGGAAAAGACATGCAAAGAGCCTCCCAGAGTCATTTGATTTTTCGACATAACTGTTAGGTGTTTGAAGTTGCCCAGTCTGAGTTCAAAAAGGGGCCTTACAAAACACTTGCACAGTTCAAATGCCTCTGTATTGCAATATGGTGTGGTGGTATCACCTGTGTGTCTGTGCATTTCTCTTGTTATACTACAAATGAGATCAGAGCTGTGTGTCTGTATCCATAACCCGAAAACTGTCTGGCTCCTGGCAGGATCAAACATGATTCAAGGGGCAAAGCATGGATGAAAGCAGTAGTGGCTCTGAGGATGCTCTCTTAGGGTGTGTAAATTATAATTTAGATGTTATCCATTCTAAAGCTCTTTAAAGTAGGGTATACACATGTCCTGTCACTTTACACATTTGGGGGTTTTTTGGTCATTTTGAGACAGGGTCTCCCTGTAGCCCTAGTTGTCCTGGAACTCACTATGTGGACCAGGCTGGTCTTGAATTCACAGAGATCCGCCTGTCTCTGTCTCCCGAGTGCTGGGACTAAAGGTGTGTGCCACCATGCCCAGCTAACACATTTGTTTTTAAAACCACTTCAGCTCCCACCTTTGACAAAAAAAAAAAAAAGAGGTGCTTTCAATGGCGCTTAAAGAGCAACAGCTGTCATTTCAGAGACCACAAAAAAGAAAGGTAAAAGCAGTTGGCCTGACCACATGTGGTAGTATGTGCCTTTAGTCCCAGCAGGCAGGAGGCAGAGGCAAGCAGGTCCCAGGCTACACAGTGAACTCCAGGCCAGCTGGGGCTATTGGAAGACTGTCTCAAAAAAAAGGGGGGTGAGGAATAGCTGGGTCCCAGCTCATGGTACTTGATCAGAAACATGTTGAAGGCTCTAATATACCTGGGAAATATATCTTGTTTTAGATTTTTTTTTTTTTTAAATCACCCAAGTTGTAGTGAATTAAAAAAAAAAAAATCAAGCTCAGGCACACATTTAGGAACACAAATGCATTAAATCGTACTAGAGTAAAAGAACAAACTGTGTTTCAAGTTGAAAACTCCAAGTTGTTTGGTTTTAACTATTAAAGAGATGACATTAATTTCAACACCTGAGCACTGTCAAGACGAAATAGCCTTTATCTCAAAGGGAATAAGAGACAGCTTCTTGTGGAGCCAATATGAGTGACCACGACCCAAGAGCTCAGATTCGTGCTACCCGAACTATCATGTTCCAAACAGGAATCAGTCACATGGGCTTTTATTAGTTACAGGGAAAAAAAAAAGGTCATAAATCAAGACACTTGCCAATTACATTGTGGAGACCATAGGTAGGTAGGTTACAATGAAGCAGGAAACTCCTGCAGGTTGCAGTGCTATCAATGATATTTTTAGCTTTTAGATCAGTGGAAGGAAGTCAGGGTCTGCTAAGAAGACATTCCAAAGCTTTAACAGGATGGTCAAAAGGATGGCATGTAGACGCTGGGGTAAGCGATGAATGGCTGTTAAGGAGACGAAAGGTAGCCCAAGATAATTTGGTGCTGGACCTCCAACATTCTAATTCCCCGAATCACAAACTTCTGATCAGTCATTCAGCCTTGTGAAATCCTCAGCAGAGATGGCTTGATTTTTTTTCTTCAGGGAACTGCAGCTTACAGTAGTTCAGCTGATTTTTCTTAGTGTGCGTACATTACCAGAAAAAGAGTTTTAGGTTAAAAAACCCATCTTTTTATAGTGCTTTTGCTCTCCTTTAGTGATTCTTATGAATTGCTTTTCCCCAAAACACTAGCACCTTTGACTTGATTATTTTACTTTAAAAGTAACTGATAGAAACATAACTATAAATATTCTTAGTAATTGTACAGTTTTTCTAGCTATTTAAAGTACACATACAAATAATTACACAGAAGACATACGTTTAAGCAAATTAAGGCATATTGACTACAATCTATTTATATAATTAATTTTTAAATTTTTTTAAAAATTCAGAAAGCCGGGCATGGTGGCACACACCTGTAGTCCCAGCACTCGGGAGGCAGAGGCAGTATCTCTGTGAGATCAAGGCCAGCCTGGTCTACATATTAAGTTCCAAGTCAGCTGAGGCTGTACGGAGACCCTGTCTCAAAAAGCTCCCCCCCAAAAAAAAACCAAAAACAATTCAGATAATGCCCAGGCTTAACATTTTCATAATTTTCATAAGGAAGTTGGTTTGTTGGGCTTGCCATAATTTTTTTTACTCACTTTCAAGATAAAAAAATATATAATAATGAGGAAGGTGGAGCTATTTGAAATATATAAATACTTGCAGTGATCATTTAAATCACTTGGTCCTCAAGAATACGGCTTTAAAAATCAAGTTCAGCTTCACTAGTAATAATCAGATATATAGAGATTAGAAATGCCTGTGCATCTTAGTGTCAATTGTATTAAGAATGAATTTTTCTGCAAAAAAAAAAAAAATCAAGTTCAGCTTCAGTGGAGGTAAATGTATTCATGTCCAATGCGAGAATCTTCTATTCTGCTTTTGGCTGAAGGTTATACTTTTGTGGTTGGAAGAAATTTTCTTCAATGGCACTGATGAGTTCATCCAGCTCCTTCTTCAGCTGCTCAGGATCACTGAGAAATAAAAGGGAAAAAAAAAAATCCAGATTAATGGATTATTCCAAAGCAAAATGTGTATATCATTTGGTTTTTGTTTTGTTTGTTTTGTTTTTGAGATATGCTCTTGCTATGTGGCCAGGCTGGCCTTGAAACCATAGAAATCCTCCTGCCTCAGTCTCCTGAGTGCAAGGATTAGGAATTATAAGTGTAAGCCACCACTCCCAGTTTTAAATTGCATGCATACCCACAGACACACACACACATGCACACCCCCCCCATGATTTTATTTTTAATTATATGTATGTGTGCTGGTAGATGCATATGAGTGCAGTTTCCTGAGGAGGCCAAAGGCATTGCATCCCCTGGAGCTGGGAAAATAGGCAGTTGTGAGTCACCTGATGTGGGTGCTGGGAACTGAATTCAGGTTCTTTGCAACAGTAGGGTGTGCTCTTGACCACTGAGCCAGATCTCCATCTCTCCAGCCCTTAAAAGCATATTTTAAAATGTTCCCTTCACTGACCTAATGAAACTGAAACTGAACCTTAAGAAGAGGGCAAAATAAAATAAGAAAAAATAAGAAAAAATAACTCCACTAACTTCTGTGTGAGAACACATTTGTTGACATAGGCAAAGAAATCCCGGGAGGCAACATGTATTATTTTTCCTAGAAGTTTTCCAAAGTCCCCACTATGAACTAAACTTTTTCTTGTTTGTCTCCTAAAACTTTAAAGAAACACACTTTTTGGTGTGGCATTCCCACAGGCTCTACAGTGCATACACCTAATAGTATAGAGAGAGCATTCCAGATTGTTCTTATTGTCCAGTCCTGCTCAAATTTAACCATATTCCTGTGAAGTCCTTGGCCTCCCCATGGCTGATCCTGATGATGTCTGTTCTCGGGCCACTGGGACTCAAGCTGACTTCACAGAAAAGACCCTGACAGAAACCTCTTCACAGGCCAGAGTCCACACCAGGGAACTGAACCCCTTGTGTTGGACCTTTACTGACCTACCACCCAAAAAATCATCAGTATAAACAAAAATCTAGGGAGATTGGGACCGGAATGATTGTTCAGCAGTTAAGAGCACTTGCTGCTCTTGCAGGGGACCTGGGTTCAGTTTCCAACACCTACATGGTGGATAATAACTGCCTATAACTCCATTCCCAGGGAATCTGACACCCTCTTCTGGCCTTTTCATGCAGTGCACAATGTGGGTACACTTAATATACCTATAAGAAAACACTCATACACATAACGTTAAAAAAAATGAAATTTTTCAAAAAATTTTATGGAGACTGATTTTTTTTTTTTTTTTTTGCTGGGGGAAGGGGCGCACTTGTTTAATGCCAGCACCCCGGAGGCAGAGGCAGGTGGATCTCTATGAGCTCAAGGCCAGCCTGGTCTACACAGTGAGTTCTAGGCCAGCTGGGGCTACAGGGAGACCCTGTCTCAAAAAAAAAAAAAAAAAAAAAAAAAGTTTTCAAGGATGTGGGAGGCACTCATGTATATGCAAACTATTAGAAGGTAAACCATACATAAAACTGACTCCCAGTGAAACAGATTTTCAGAACTTATGGAGTCTAATATGTGAGTTCTCCATAAAGTTGGATTTGAAAACTAATCCTTCATACTTTCCATTACTTCATATTTGATCATCTGCAAAGCTTATATGCCAAGTTTATCTGAGTGGAAATGACAATCCCTCCCAACAGTTAAGATCATTACAAACAGTAGAAAGAAGGCAATCAACTTCATTGCAGATGTTAATTATGGTTCTATTAGCTATGTGCCCTTGAGGAAGTGGCTTGGCCTCTCTGAGACCCATATTCTTCATTTGTAAAACTGGGATAAATACACTACCTTCTCAAGAGAGTTACTGTACATTCTGAGATATACTATATAAAGTAATTAGCCCAGAGCCTAGCCCAAAGACCTCAATAAATATAGCTATCATTATAATCATTTTCATCCTCAATGACAACATATACAGTAATCATGATTCATAAATACACATGAATTACACTGGTTTCATTGTCCATCTCCACAAATGTACTTTGAAGAAAATAACGGTTCTCAGGAAGGTGCATATGGTAATAATTATTTAAAACAATGCCTAAAACTTAAGCACAGTGAATCTGCTAACTACTAACTTATTTGTGAATCATTTGGTTTCTAACCACGACACACTGATTCCTTTGTGTAGTAAGTTAACGTTTAGGGCATTTCTAGTGTGTAGGGTACCAGAATCACGTGATAGGATTTAGTGATGCAAAATTCTTAGTCCTAAAATGAACCACTTTGAAAATTAAATGTGACACTATTTCATACCATTTAAAAACAAGAACATATCACATGACTATGCAAACTAGGGTTAGAAATTTGTATTTCTGAATAGTCTAAATTCAGTGGGTAACTTTAGAGAAATGGATTGTGAAATGCTGTTATTATAAAGGAAAATATTCTGAAAAATTCCCAGGACATTAAAAAAGAAAGGGCTTTTAGAAGAATGATGCACAAAAACACTAAGTGAGGATGAAAATTACAAAGAGATGCTTATGGAAAACCATATGGCAGCAAGTAGCTTACTTTTTAACTGTGTGGAAACACTGATACCTGCACACTATTAACAATAAGATGTTGGCAATCTCTAATTCTTCAAAACTGAGCTGCTTTCTGTTTGCTTGAAGGTTGAGACTTTGCCCCAAATACCAAATTTTAAAACATATTTGATTCAGTTATTGGAATCATTTGGATGTCCAAATCTACTTTTCTATGGTAGACTATAAAATCTAAGAATAGATTCAAGAATTTTCTATGCAAATGTAGCATTCAGGTGGAGATATGCTGTATGCATATGCTTAACAGGTTTTTAACAGTTTGAATTAATGGCTTGAATGCTTAAAAGTCTTTTCTTTGGGGCTGGAGAGATGGCTCAGTGGTTAAGAGCACTGGACCCAGATTCGATTCCCAGCACCCACATGGTGGCTAACAACCATTTGTAACTCCAGTTCTGGGGGAATCCAATGCCTTCTTCTGACCTCGGAGGGCATTGCATGACACAGGTGCACTTACACACATGTACGCAATACACTCATACACATAAAATAAAAATAATAAAGTATTTTTTAAGTCTTTTCTTTACAAAATAATGTAAAATAGGTCATTAATATTTTTACATGGGCTATATAGTGCAATGATAATTTTTTGGAGGCATTAAGTTGAGTGAAATAAATAATTGAAATTAATTTCATCTTTCTCTTTTCAGTCTTTTGAAATGTGGTTAATAGAAATTCTTAAATTGCATACCTGGCTTGCATACTATTTCTACTAGACAGCATTGACTCCATTCACCTTTAAAGGTACTGTCCTGACTCTCAGTCATTCTGAATAGAGGAACCAGCTATCTTGGCAGTATCACATTGACATGTGCTAATGATATGGACGGAGGGTGTCCAAGTTCAAAACAGTATGATGGTTGGAGGACACCTGTTCTAGCTTGTTCTGTTGCTGTTCTAAACATCATGACCAAAAGTAACTTGGAGATGAAAGAATTTATTTAATCCTACAGGTTACAGTCCATCATTAAGAAAAGCCAGGGCAAGGACTCAAGGCAGGAGCAGAAACCTCAGCAGAATGCTGCTTCCTGGCTTGCTCAACTACCTTTCTCTTTCTCTTTCTCTCTTCCTCTCTCTCACCTTCTCTTTCACCCTCTCCCTCTCCCTCCCTCCCTCCCTTCCTTGATTTATTTATTTCTATTTTATGGTATGAGTGTTTTGCTTGCACATATGTAAGTGCACCATGTGCATGCAATGCCTACAGAGGACAGAAGAGGATGTCAGATCCCTTGGAGCTGGTTGCTAGCCATTATGTGGGTGCTGGAAACTGAACCTGGGTCCTCTGTAGGAGCTGCCAGTACTCTTAACCACTGATCCATCTTTCCAGCCCCCACTATCTTTCTTATACAGGCCAGGATCACCATCCCAGGAAAGGCATTGCCTACAATGGACTGAGTCCTCCTACATCAATTAGCAATAAAAAAAAAACAACAACAACAACAACAAAAAAAACCCTCACAGACTTGCTACAGGCAGTCTGCTTTAGGAAATTCCTTAGTTGAGGTTCCTTTTCCTAGGAACTCTAAGTTTGTGTCAAGTTGACAGCTGAAGCTATCACAGTGCCCAACCCAGCATTTGTGTTGAAGTCACAGGCGCATGACCCTGGAGCTTCTAGTCTATCAGCTCTGTGTCAGCAAGCACTCCCCTCCCCTCCCCTTCCCCTTCCCTTCTTCCCTTCCCTCTCCTCCCCTTCCCTTCCATTTTGAGACAGGATCTCACTAAGTAACTGCTGGTTAGCCTGGAACTTGCTATGTAGTCTAGTTAGCCTTGAATTCATAGAGCTCTACCCGCTTCTGACCCCTGCCTTGCATGCTGGATTTAAAGGGTTGTGCACCACCATGCCCAGCCGAGCAAGCACATGGCTTCTCTCCCTGGGAGATCTAGCCAAGATCTGAGTACATATTCAAAAGTTCTTTTATTATTATTATTTATTTATTATTTTTATTTTATGTGTATGCATGTATTGCTTGCATGTATGTAAGTACATCCATGTCATGCAATGCCCACAGAGGACAGAAGAGAGCATCAGATCCCATGGAACTGGCATTATAGACAATTGTTAGTTGCCATGTGTTCTGCAAGAACAGTCAGTGTTCTTAACTGCTGAGCCATCTCTGTAGCCCCCATATTCAGAAGTTTTTAATGAATATATGTGGAAGGAATTTTATTATTTATTTATTTATTTATTTATTTATTTATTTATTGGTGTTTTTGAGACAGGGTCTCCCTGTAGCCCCAGCTGTCCTGGAACTTACTATGTAGACCAGGCTGGCCTTGAACTCACAGAGATCTACCTACCTCTGCCTCCCGAGTGCTGGGATTAAAGGTGTGCGCCACCATGCCCGGCCCCGGAATTTTATTTTTTTAGAGACATGGGAAGACAACAGGAACAAAAGTGGAAAATTTATTGGCACTAATCACCAATAAAAATACCCAGAGAAAGGAAGTTTTATTGTTATTACTAAGATTAAGAATGGAATTTCCTCATAAAGAGAAAGGAAGGGGAGCCGTAAATAAGAAGTGACCATGCTTAGCAGTGGGCGTTCAAGTAGGTTTTTACTACTAGAAAATTAGTGTGTGTGTGTGTATGTGTGTGTGTCTGTGTCTGTGTCTGTATCTGTGTGTGTGTGTTGTGTGTATGTGGGTGCCCTCAGAGACAAGAAGAGGACATTAGATACCCTGGAGATGGTGATTGTGAGCTTCCCGATTCTGGCATGTGAACTCAGGTCCTCTGAAAGAGCAGCAAGCCTTAACTGCTGAGCAACCTCTCTACTGCTCAAGTCGTTTTTAATACCATGATAATGCCACAGTTTCTAACTAAGCTGCACATTGGAAAGATGAGAATATTTACTTAACATGAGCAGAACCAACTAGGAAGTGTCTGGAATAAAAGTCACAGCAGCTCCCACCCCACTGTACCTGTTGCCAGGGGGTGCACACAGCTCCGCATAATACTTGATTTTGGGCTCCGTCCCACTGGTCCGCATGGTGGCCACACCTCCGTTAGCAAAGGTGAAAGTGATCATTTGACTGCTCCTACTGGTAGGAAGAACCTAGGAATTAATTCATACATGTTATACACAACATACACTCTTCTGACCTAATGAATATTGTCCCCTGGATAAGCAAGAAAATAAAATACCAAGCAAGTATATTCATTATAAAAGAACATTTTTTTCATGAATGAAATGCTAACAATTTATGAACATTAACTTCACAGACTAGCTTTCATCTCTGTAGATTTATTAAAGTTATCAAAATTTTATTCAAATTAAAACACATCATTTCAAATGATATTCATTTAAATAGATTAATAATGTACTACAAAAAATTAGATGTTTCAATGTTGTAAAGTGAAACTTGCCCATAAAAGGTTCACAAGGGTTTTTAAAAATTAATACAAAACTCTGACAGGTTAACTGTTAACTGTTAACTCCTAGAACTCCACAAAGTTATGAGATGTGTTTTAACAAACATAAACACAAGGGCAAAGAGGAAAAGAGGAGCTAGCAGTTGATGGGGCTATCAACCAATCACAGAAGTCAGAAAGCAGATGGCATTGCAGAACTGGTGTGATGGGACATGTGACAATGGGATTCCAGAACCTAAGGAGAAGGCAGAAGCAGGGAACTGAGCCACTGTGCACTGTGCACCGTGCACCAGCTTTAGAACTAGGAGCACCAGGTATGCCAAGGCCAGTGTGAGGCATGTGTGGAACACTGGGAAGGGTTAGAAAGAATCTACTAAATACTCCTGGATCTTCACTCCTATCTGGAGTCATAGGCCCAACTCTCCTCTGACTGCAGGAGAGGCTTAAATTCTCTGGAGTTTGAGTCAGAAAGGCACAGGTACTGGGAACATCAGGCACCATAGATGGAGGGGGATGGAGAAACAAACAGACATCCCAGGCCTGCCTCTAGCCACACCTCCAGGACCTTCACATGCTAACATCTCTTAGAAAATCAATTAGAGTTAAGCTTCTTTCTAACAGCCCAATAGCTCTAGGTGAAGGTCATTCTTAAAACAGTTCACTTGTTACTCAATATTCCTGAAATGAATCAGGTCATTTGTCTTACACACATACAGAGCTTCCAATCAGTTAAGTATCTAAAAGATAATAAAAGAATTCCAGGTCCCTGAGAAAGACACTGGATTAATGACAAGTCCAAAACAAATAGAAAGAAAAAAAAATTAAAGAAGAACTCGAAGGAAATAAAGACAATATGGGTGAGAAATATTCAATTAAAAAATGTGTGTGTGTGTGTGTGTGTGTGTGCGTGTTTGTGCCTGTTTATGTGTACCAGGTGCATGCAGGTGCCTGCGGAGGCTAAAGGGCATTGGATCCCCTGGAATTGGAGTTATAGGTGGTTGTGGGCTGCCACATGGGGTCCTCTGTAAGAGCAGTAAGCTTTTTTAACCACTGAGCCATCTTTCCATCCCCTAATTATATTTTTAAAAAAGAATCCTTGGGGTTGGAGAGATGGCTCAGTGATTAAGAACACTGGCTGCTCCTGCAGAGGACCTGGGTTTGATTCCCAGCAGCCACACAGCAGCTAACAGTCATCCATAACTCCACTTCCAGGGGATCTGATGCCTTCTTCTGACCTCCGTGGGCATTGTACTACATAGGTGTACTTACATACATGCAGGTAATACATCCATACACAAAATAAAAATAATAAATATTTTTTTAAAAAAGAATCCTTACAAAGATACAGTGCACAGAAAATAACAGGATGCAGTTTTGAAAAAAAAAATCAAGAATAGAACTGAAATCAATAGCCAACAGAAGCATCAAAAGTTAAAAGTTGGGAGTCAGAGAGATGACTCAGTAGTTGAGAACACTGGCTGCTCTTAAAGAAGCCCTGGGTTCATTTCACAGCATCACAGATGACTCGCAACCATCTGTAACTCCAGTCCCGGGGATCCCATGCCCTCTTCTGGCTTCTTTAGGGACCGCATTCATATAGTACACTTACATACATGTAGGCAAAACACCCATTCATATAAAATAATACACTTTAAAAAATGTTCCTAAAGTTAAAAGTTGAGAAAATCCTCCAAAAAGTAGTAGAGATAGACAAGAAGAAAGAAAGTGGAACATGAGTTCTGGAGAGCTAGCATCTAGCTAAGAACTCGTCATAAAAACAACCAACCAGCCCCCTTCCTTGATATATACAGGAAGAAAACAGAGAAGTATTGGAAAGGAGTCCATAGCCCCGAAAGACACACTGTGACTGTCAACTTGATTGGATTGAGTGGTGTCTAGCAGATCTATGAAGCACACTCTGGGTGTGTGTTGGGGACTCCTGCTGTTTTGGGTCGTAGTCTCTCCATGTCTGGATAGCCGCAAGTCGGCCCGGAGCATATTGGAAGAGACTCCTCTTTCAGCGGGGTGCCTCCTACCCTCTTCCTGACTCACCTTTGAAGTGGCCGCCACAGATGCCCTACCAGAAACATGGCCCCTGGCACAGAAACTGCCAGGTTTTTCCTGTGTGATAATCAGGCATTGTCTGACAGCCTGATAGAAGCCCACCGCCACATGTAAATGGGACATCCTAAAAGCACCTATCAACTAAGGCTTTTGCTACTGCCTCCACACTATAAATATCCTGGTTTCCCCCTAATAAATCGGAGGTGAATCACTAAGACCTGGAGCAGAGCTGAATCACTAAGACCTGGAGTGGAGCTGAATCACTAAGACCTGGAGCTGAGCTGAATCACTGAATAAAGGAGCTGTACCACGAGCTGTATCACTGAGTCAGACTGAGCTGTATCCCCGGAGGGGGCTATCCCTTCGTAAACAACCACTCGTGAAGATCTTGCTTTCGCCATTCTTGCACCTCCCCTCATGACCCGGTGGCCGACGGATCACGTACATAGAGGGAGTGCCCGGTAGCTTGGAATGGAACTCGCCTAGAAGCGCAGCGACCCACAGAGTCGCCAGCATCTGGTAGCCACGGAGAGCCAGGGACCTGCACAGCAGGGACCCGAACAGCAACGGTGCGCACAATGGTGCACCCCAGCGGCGCGCGAGAGACCGGCGCCATGCCCAGCAGCTGGTGCTCCGAGATCCCCGCGCGCCCACAGGTGTGTCTGTGAGGATGTTTCCAGAGACAACTTGATCATAAGAACTCTGACCTAATCAATGGTTGAATGTATTGCTGACTTTAATAGACTTCCTGGGAGGAGGTAGAACTGAGGAAGGTAGGGACTAGGAAGTGGGTCACTGGGAGCCTTCAAAGGTATAACGGCTTGGCTCCTTCCTATATTCCACTTACTTCCTGTCTACAATGAAGTGAACAGCTTTCTTCTACATTGCCATGGGCCTAAGAGCAATGGAGCCAGGCAAGCACTGACTGAACCTTCTGAAACAGTGAGCCCAGATAAATCTTTCCTCTTTTAAATTGCTTCTCCCAATTGCCAAAATGCCAGAGAATCTAATTACACCAAGTAATCACAAAATTGAATAAAAAGAACTGTGAATCAACACAGTGTGAAATTTTAGAACATGAAGTTCAGAGAGAAAGTACTAAAATCTTTCCAGAAAGTGAACAAAGCCAGTTGTAAGGTACTGACTATAGTGTTAACATCTCTGTAGGCAGCACACAGTGGCCTCAACTCTGCTAAAAAGATGAACAAGCAGATGCTTAATGTAGTACTATAAAGCAGAGCAATAATGGAGCAATGTGTTCAAAACTCCCAAATTAGTAGACTGTGAGGGCAAAACACATGTTTGGACCTAAAGGCCTCCCCAGGCCAGATTTACTTCCCATTCACACACCTCCCCACCCTCTTCCACCCCAACCCTAAGCAATTAGAAAACATGATCTAGGAAATGAATACAGAAAGAGGAAGCCATGAAGTCAGGAGCAAGGGGCCCAGCTTTGGCAAATGGCATTCCAAGGATGACAGCTGTGCACTGACTCCAGAGAACAGCTGGCTAGTCTGCATGGAAGGCTGAGGAGGGAGGCCAATGGAAACAAACGAGCACACACAGCTGAAACCTGGGAGCATGTGGAAAATGTGCCAGAGAGGCATTGGAAAGATTTGGGAAAACCCAGATGATGGTGGCACAGAAATCCAGGCAAACAGATGAAGAAAGCAATGATCAATGACAGGAAATGCAGTTGTTTATAGAAGTCAGAGAAGCTTCATGAAGAATACACTACTTGAGCTGGAAAGATGGCTCAGTGGTTAAGAGCACTGGCTGCTCTTGCAGAGGACCCAGGTTTGATTCCCAGTGCCCACATGGCAGCTAACAACCATCTGTAACTCCAGTTCCAGGGAATTTGGTGCCCTCTTCTGACCTCCACAGGCATTGCATGACACATGTACACTTATCTACATGCAAGCAATATACTCATACACATAAAATAATAATAATAATAATAATAAAATATTAAAAAAAGAATATGCTACTTAGTAAAGCAGGCCATAGTAATGACTAACCATAATTAAAAAGCTCAGATGTGGTTTGAGGGGGACTTGTGAATGTGGGAAGTGTACACACAGACTCTTTATCTCCATAATGGAGAGTGACTAGGTATAACTCAGGTATGTCAAAACATCGGTGAAAGAGCACATTATTTATAAAGTTGATGGCAAACACTAGGAGAAATAACTGAGAAGACGGTTGGTTATCTCAGCATGGAAATAAGGTATCATAATTCATCATAATCCTTTTCATGCTATTTATCTCTTAGAAATATTTTGTGTGCATATGAAAATAAAACCCAGAAAGGTAAATATCAAAGAAGATGTCTAACTCATCAGGCTATTCCTGCCTTCCTCTTAAACCTTGGCCAGTCAGCATGACTCTTCTGCTACCTCTGGCTCCAAGGGGGATTCACAAGGTGGAGCCAAAGCAAGAGCATGCTTTACAGCTAACAGCCATGTTCAGAGAGAAGGGCAAAATTAACTACAGAAAGGTAGTGGTTCTCCCAGGGTGGTCTAGCATCCATGTCACTAGGAAGCTTGTTAGAAATGCAAATTCTTTGTCTGTACCCCAGACCTACTTCATCAGGAATCCCAGGGTGGATGGGCTTTAGCACTGTTCATTTGCTTGAGATAGAATATCATTATACAACCAATGATGAGAGATGCTGATGAAGAGAAGCTGGATCCAGAGTCTAAAGCCAGACACCACCTTGACTCTTACCTGTCTCAGCACTTCTAAGTAACAATTTCCTTTTGTGTTAAAGGATGGCTCTGTGTGTCATCTATCATCAAATGACTTTGAGATCCCTTTCATTTCTAGCCCATGATGTCTACTTTTCCAAATATTTTATTTATTCTTTCTGCAATGCTAAGACTCTAACCCAGAGCCTTGTGCATGCTAGGCAAATACTCTACTACTGAGTTATATTTCCACTCCCAATTTTCCATGAACTATATAGATTACTCTTTTTAAATTGTTTTAATTTCTTTTTTGTTGTTGGTTTTTTTGTTTGTTTCGTTTTGTTTTTTTGAGACAGGGTCTTCCTGCAGTCCCAGCTAGCCTGGAACTCACTATGTAGACCAGGCTGGCCTCAATCTCACAGAGATCCACTTGCCTCTGCCTCCTGAGTACTGGGATTCAAGGCATGCACCATCATGCCTGGTGGTATTGTACATTTAGAATGATACTTAACCAACTTCAATGAACTATGTGAATAAATAAATCTCCTTTAATTGTAGAAATGGTAAATAAAAAAGAAATTAGTTGATAAAAGTAAACAGGACTTACAGCTTTCTTATCAGGCTGACTGTCATCATAGCCAGTTGTAAGGTCCCTAATTGCAGAGACTTCAAATCTGCCACAAGTTTTGGGATAATTATTCTTCCCATCATAGTTTCTCAGGTTTCCAAATAGTGTTTGAATGGTCCCTTGGTCATGGCAGACAAAATACGAAGCTTTGGTTATATGGTAGCCATACCTGTCAAAACACATTCATGCAGAATGAGTAACAGTCCTGTAGAGTGTACACAGGATATGTGTCAGTACATTCCAAAATAAATAAGACAGGTAACCAACTTCACAGGAGTAAACTAGAATTTAAAAAAGAGGTCCAGAGCTGGAAGCTGGTTCCGTGGATAAGGGTACTTGCTGCCAAGCCTGACAATCTGAGTTCAATACCCATGGCAAAAGGAGAAAACCAACTCCTGCAAGTTGTCCTCTGACCACTACATAAGTGGCATATGTGTGTCCATGCACATACAAACATACATATACATAGACAATAAATGGAAGACCTCACTATGATCCCCAGAACCTATGTAAAAAAGGCTGGGCATGGTGGTGCAGGCTTGTGATCCCAGTGCTGGAGAGACCCAGACAGGAAGATCCCTGGGGCTCTCTGACCAGCCAGCTCTCTCTCTCTCCTCTCCTCTCTCTCTCTCTCTCTCTCTCTCTCTCTCTCTCTCTCTCCTCCCCCCCCCAAAGGATCAGCCTGAATTGGTAAATCACAGTTTTACTGGAACACAGCTACATGGGTTACTTTTTATGCTGTCTCAGCTGTTTCTCATCAGTGGACAGAGCTCAGTACTTGCTACAAAGGCTGACTAGATTATAAATACATTTAAGTCACACTCTTTAAGCCATTTCTGCAATTAACATTTTCATGTGTTAGCATCCACACAACTGCAAATGGTCATTACTAATCAGTGGTGACTCATCATATGGAAAAGAAATAGAATCTATGACCAAAGTAAGAACACTTGAAATAGTAATATTTCATGCACAAGAATAAAAATATTGCTAATATTGCTTAAATCCAGCATAATCAATATAAACTTACTCCACATAGATGGCTTTTAGCTGCTGAGACAAAGACAAATTCTTGGTTGCTAGAAAGCTCGCCAGCTCTGCACTTATGACGGCAGCGCTGACTCCGTCTTTGTCCAGAACGAAGGGGCAGCACATATATCCTGCAGAGACAGTGGCAGACACACCCTCAGTGGTTCCCTTCACTGCACTGGGACAGGCCAGCTGAGTGCAGTGCTGGCCATTATATATCAGAGAGGGCACAGACCCAAGCACGTGCATATTTTTCATTTGCCAGCATATATTTGAGAGTTTAGCTCTGCATGCAGTTCTGTACTGTAGTGCTTATCACAACTGCTTTACACACAGAAGGTCCTGTTTGAGCCCCACTGGATCATGGTGTGTTTAGCCTACATTGAGCTGGAAGTGATGGTATATGGCTATAATCCCAGCACTTGGGAGATGGAGACAGGAAGATCAGGGGTTCAGGGTTATCCTTGGGGGGCTGGAGAGATGGCTCAGCGATTAAGAGCACTGGTTGCTCTTGCAGAGGATCTGGGTTCAGTTCCCAGCCCACATGGTGACTCACAACTGTCCATAACTCCAGTTCTGAGGCTCTGATGCCCTCTTCTGACCTCTGTGGGCATTTCATGGCATGGGTATACTATACATGTAGGCAAAACCACTTATAGACATAAAATAAAATACAGAGGGAGGCAGATCTTTGTGAGTTTGAGGCCAGCCAGGTCTACATAGGGAGTCCCAGGCCAGCTGGGGCTACAGGAGACCCTATCTCAAAAAGACAAATAATAAAATACACCCCCGAATAGTTTTTACTAAGTTAACAACTAAGCAATTCTTGGGCATAAACAACAGAATTTCCTATACCTATGCCTAGCTTTTGCTTCTGCTCATGTATGCTGATAGCTTAGGACAAGGGTTTTTCAGTCATTGTAGTTGGACCTTCAACATCCTTTTCCATAACTCTGAGGACAGTACCTGCCCCCTGGGCAGACTCAGCACACACTCATTAGCACTGTTGGAGGTGGGTGGGCCTTATATTATACCCAAGCCTGGACATTCAACACCATAGCTCCCCAAATATGTGGATGTTTGTGCTGCCAGCAAAATGTCGACTCTGTCAGCTATGTGTGGAAGGCCCAATTATTTGCAAGATACTCCTTTTTGTGGAAAAAATATGAGAAGCTAATTTTGGAGTAGGGAAGCTCAACACTCAGTTGGAAGAAGAGAACCAGGGTTAACCGTGTTCTTGTTTCACTGGGATCTTTTGAACTCAAATCCGAGTCTTTCTCTCACTTATTTATATCTTTTCTATGAACCAATTCTGTGATCCCAATTAATACTTCTTACCAATAGCTTCTTCAAATGCAAATAAGACAGTCTTCCCTTGGTCTATTAGCTGTTTGGTTCTGTTCCCCATCCACTTGAAGCCAGTTAATGTTTCCTAAAGGAATAATTTAAAAGAAAAAGAAATGTCTTGGGGTTGGGGATGTAGCTCAGGTGGTAGAGTGCTTGCCTGGCCCTGGGTTCAGTCCCTAGCACCATATAATCTGGGCATGGTGGTGCATGCCTACAATCCTTGGCTACATATCAAGTTCGTGGGCTATATGAAATTTTGTCTGAAAAAAAAAATAATAAAGGAAAAATGTCTTGGGAAAATGGGAAGTCCAAGTTCCATAAACATCTTACCTCAAAATGAAAGCCCTCCTTCAAGGCAATAGCCCGCAAGATTTTGGAGGAGACAGTGCTGGACAACATGTAAGTATCTTTGAGGGCCCTGCGATCTTGGTTCTTTTCTTTCCAGGAAGTGAAGAGCCACCAGCCCAAGAGGGCCCCCAGCTCGTTGCCTGAGAATACTCTCCACTCACCACTGCAAGAGAAACAAAGCCTTTTCAGCAACCTTCAGGAAGGCATAGAAGCCACTGGCTCAAGACAGCTAGGCAAACAAGGCCTGGCATACTTTCTATAAGACCGTTCTTGTCTTTAAATAATCAGACACAAATGGAGCTCCTACAAACAACTGAGCAGCTTCCACATATCGGCCAGTTCATCCAGACGAATATTAATGTCTTTGAAGGTGGTCTACAATTAGAATGCAGAGATGACAAAGGATACTTTGATTTCCATCTCTGGCAAAGACTATGGTTTGAAAAAGTACCAGACACTCTTATTCTTTGTGTAGGCTTCATGGTCACACATTGTGCCAGTACCCTACTGGTGTTCCTCTGTCTGTTAAACTTAATTCCTCCTTGAAGGACCAGTGCCGTACCACTGGCAAATGCTGATCTGCAAAGCCAGTACCACGCAAAGGACTTTGCCTCTTCAGGGATGGACACACTGTTCATATTAAGAGCAATTATAAAGTAAGGGTAGATCACAAAAAGTCATTTCAATTCCTAACACACATTGGGTTGTTTAACTTTGCATAACATGGGTCAAGGATGTAAATACCTGCTCTTAGGATCAGCACCTTGTCCTGTTAGAGGAACCACCAAAGGTTCAGAGAGATGATTTATAAAACAAATGCAAATTAAATGGAAGCTTTTCCACATGGTCTCAACCTCCCCAGGAATATGTTACTACCAAAGGTGGCATCTTTTATATTTTCCATGACACAGATAAAATTAATTTTACCTGTCTTGCTTTTCTGCCACAGCAAGTCTATCAGCATCTGGGTCATTTGCTAAAACAATTTTTGCCTTGATTTTGTCAGCCAAAGCAAAAGACAAAGTCTGAAAAAGAATACAGAAAATAAAAGATCACTTAAATTATAAACTGAGCATATTTTAGTCTGTAAAAATGTTTGTGTTCTCATGAACTGAAGGACTTTCCCTCAGTGGGAGGCTACAGGATTTTTCTGGAGCTGGTCTTGCTTGTTCAGATTTTATTTTCCTATGTTGGAGGTCAAATAAAGAGAGCTTCAGTATCCATCCCATCTCTACCCTGGGATTGTACAGAAACAGGGCAGAATGTAGTGGGACTGGTATTTCCAGGCACTGTGTATGTTCGACCATGCAAACCAAGACAACCAACTCTCTTAATATCATTACTACCCAACCTTTAGCAATGGTATGTGAACCATAATGTCAACATTCTTTAATGATCATTAAGGAATAAAAATAAAATAGCCCCTCCATTCTATTACTGTTATTTCTTGGCAATAAGGAAACTATAAATTTCATGTAAAGGATAATTTAGATTTCAGTTCTTACATCCTCATGGTAAAAATATCAAGTTTGAAACTTCCTTTAATAAATTAATGATGGAGCTGGAGTGATGATGGCTCAGTGGTTAAGAGGACTGGTTGCTCTTGCAGAGGACCTGGGTTCAATTCCCAGCACCCACATGGTGGCTAACAATCCTCTGTAACTCCAGTTCCAGGGGATCTAACACTCTCATCTGACCTCCATGGACACTGAACAACACAGATGCACTTACATGCATGCAGGCAATACACTCATACACATATAACAAAAGTAATAAATAAAATTTAAAAAATAATGATTATGCAATATATGTTATTTTTAGTGACAGCACAATGAGAACCAATAAAAATATAATTTACTTGATAGCAATAATTTTGACTCTAAAAGGTAGATTTTATTATTTAATAAAATTGGGTTACCAAGACACCTTTACCCTCCTCAGGATTCGGGTATTTGACAGTTGGGAACTCTGGATCTGGATCTTTCTGTTGGGGAACAGCCTCTGGAGGAGCAAGGTCAAATGCCTTAAAAGCCGACTGCACAAACTCATGACCCACACCATGGACAGAGGTATGCACGAACTTCACCTGGGTCTCCTTGTTCACACCCCTAGAGTCAGACAAAGCAGAAAGTGGCAAAGGATACAAACAAGACTCTAAAGTGGAGGATTTACAAAATTTCAAGCAGCCAGAGTCTTCAGAATATAAAAATCCATACAATAAGAATGTGTAATGCGGGGGCTGGAGAGATGATTCAGCTGTTAAAAGCACTGACTGCTCTTATAGAGGACCTGAGTTAAGTTCTCAGAACCTACATGGTGGCTAACAACCATCTGTAACTCCAATTCCAGGGGATCTGATATCCTTTTCTGGCCTCCATAAGTATTGTACAACATGGGTGTACTTACATACATTCAGGGCAAAACACTCATACACACAAAAAAAGAATGTGGGCTGGAGAGATGGCTCAGTGGTCAATTATGAACATCTGCTATTCTTCCAGAGGACTCAGGTTCAATTCCCAGCACCCACATGATGACTAATGACTGTAACTCCAGTTCCGTGGGCTCTGACACTCCCTTCTGGCCTCTGCAAGGCATTGCATGCCTGTGATACACTTACATACATGCAGGCAAAACACTCAAAAACATAAAATAAAAATAATAAATAAAAAGTTTAAAAAAGAATGCATAGACAACTGAATGTCCTAATTTCATTTTAAGAAGAAACAAAACATATTCACATTCCCTAAATCTCCCTATATATTTATCTCCAGTGTACGCACATATACAATTTTGCTCTAGAGCTATCCTCAGCAAATCTGCTTCCACTCACTCTGATTATGTTTCATGGTCCAGCTCTCAGATCTGCAGTGTGATTCAACAAAGACTGGCTCTGTCTCCAGAATGACACCTACAGTTGGGCCCATGGGAGCTGTCTATCTGTGGCATTGCCTGAGCTGGCTCCTGAGCGCCACATACTCTGTATTAGCTTAAAAAATTATTTTCAAAATTTCCTTTTCAGGCCTAGTGAGATGGCTCTGTGGTTTAGGCACCTGCAGCTAAGCCTGATGACATAAGTTTGATCCTGTAACCCTCCTAGCAGGAGAACTGACTCTTGCCGAGTGTCCTCCAAATGCACACTGTGGCATGTGCCCCAAACCCCCCAAATAAATAAATGTGATATTTCATAAACTTGGAATTCTGTTTAGATTGAATAACAATGATAAAAATAAAATGAACAGGATACAGAAAAATAAAAACACAAGATTTTAAAAAATGTCAATGGTGATTTCTAGAAATGTATCAATTTCTTTTGGAAATGAATAAACGAAAAAAGTTTCCTTTAAGAAAATGGTAGTTTAAAACAAGCATATGTGCTGGGCATGGTGCCGCACACCTTTAATCCCAGCACTTGGGAGGCAGAGGCAGGCGGATCTCTGTGAGTTCAAGGCCAGCCTGGTCTACCTAATCAGTTCCAGGACAGCTGGGGCTACAGGGAAACCCTGTCTCAAAACACAAAAACAAACAAAAAAAACAAACAAACAAACAAAAAACCCAAAACCACCACCACCACCACCACCAGCAGCAACAACAACAACAAAATATGTTTGAAAATGTATCTGAAAAAACAGATAGGCAAGATCAAGGAAGATAAATCTGAAAAAAAAAAAACCCCTGTGGCCCAAGGAGACCCGTAGATGGTATGGCCTCTCCCTTCAGACTGTCTCCTCGCTCTACACTGGAGCTGCCAGGCCCAGGTTGACTAACAAATACATTAGATGACTTAGGGATTCAGTTTCTTGCTGGGGGACAATGAGGAACAGAGGGACCTCCAACCTTCTGAAGGACAGCACAGTCACCCTACTCAGCACTTCACTATGAGCACTGTTTGCCCCCGACTGAACAAATGGGTTCAGTGCCTTTAAAAGCAAAGGACCAGGACAATACCAGAAGGCATCCATGAGAAGGCATTCACACTGTATTCCTGCTGGGGGGTTTGAAATATACAATACACACATACACAAGTAGAAGAGAAATATCAGTCATTCCTCTTCAGCACTTTGCAGTTAGGTTTTTGTGTTCAGTGTGTGTGTGTCAGTCAGTGGGTATGGTGTGGGAGTGGTATAGTATGTGTATCTGTGTGTGCAGGTGTGTGCATCCTTGCATGTATGGAGGCCAGAGCAGGACATCAGGTGTCTTGATTGAATGCTGTCCACCCTATTCACTTGAGACAGGGTCTATTGCTCATCCTGGATCTTATGTACATATATGGCCACCCCTGGCTTGTTATGTGGGTGCTAGGAATTCAAACTAACAAGCTCATACTTGTGCAACAAGCACTCTTACCCAGTGAACCATCTCCCCGATCCTACATTTCTTTTTAATGTACACATATAGATGTATACACACATGCTCATATACACACAGCTATATACATATATGTATGATTTTATAACAGGTTAAACTGTGGCCCACGAGGCGGCCACTTGCTCTTGTAATTAAAGCCCCCTTTGTATGGTTCACTGACTGACTGGTGTGGTGTTTGTATTTAACAGCTATACTGAGGGATAAAGACAAGCTCCATGTAACTTACAAAGCCAGAGTCACTATCTGTTCCTTTAAGAAAAACTCGGCAACTCAGTAGCTGGCCTTTTCAACAGATGCAGCTAGAGTCTGCACCAACTAAAGGAAAAGAAGATTAATGGACATTGATAGAATTTGGTTAAATCGTATTAGCTGAAGTGAAGACACAATCATTACCTGTGGAAACAGTATTTCTTAAGGTCTTCAAAGTAGGCCTTACTTATGGAAGCACTGGGGTTATGAAGAAGTGGACTACTGTCAATCAAAGACTCGTCCCAAGCTTGAGGCCAGGGCTCTAGATTTTCTTCAATAGCTTGAGAAATGCCCTTATCATGCGGAGAGATGATCTGTGCTCCATTGTCCCAATAGACCTAGAGAAGCCAGGAATGTATTCAGCAGGTTCGGGGTACTCCTGAACAGCACAGGGATGGGGCACCATAGGAGGAGAGAGCAAGGGGGTACCTTATAGCCATTGTCTTGCTTTGGATTGTGTGAGGCAGTGATCATGATCCCGGCACAGAGTTTCAGATGTGACACTGTATAGGGCTGAACAGATCAGGAGATGGTTCTTAACAAAGATTACACACACCGGAAATGGGAAATGCCTATTGGACATTATTTGTGTCACCTCATTCTCCCTTCATAGCCCTAACATAAACATGCCATTCAGTACTTTTGTGCCCTATCCAAGCAACACCCAGAAGCTACCTCATCTGTGGTTTTGGCCTGATCTGTTTCAGTTACTTATGGTCCAGAGAGTAATATTTGTCTTAACTCTTTCAACAGGGGCCACATACATAACTTCATGAGAGCATATGGCTGTAATTGTTCAGTTATTATTACTTTTATTAATCTTATTTTATAATTAAAAAATTATATTGGACTTATTTATGTTTATTTTATGAGTATGAATGTTTTGACTGCATGTATGTTAAGTGTACCCATGCACACAATGCCTGTGGATGCCAGAAGGGGGCATCAGATCCCCAGAAGTTCGAGTTATGGATGGTTGTTAACCGCCATTAAGTGTTCTGGAAACCGAACCTGGGTCCTCTGCAAGAGCAACCAGTTCTCTTAACCACTGAGCCATCTCTCCAGCCCCAAGCTCTTAATCTTTTATGTGCCTAACTTGTAAGTTAAACTTTCATAAGTATGAACGCAGGCTATATAAGCTTTTATATTTCCACAGCTTCAGGCTTCCACTGGGTCTTAGAATGCAATGCCCCTGTATAAGTGATGACTACTATATTCTTACTATCCTTGGAACTAACTGGCTTCCCAAAGTTCCAGAATGTTCACCATCCTCAGAAAACAATGAATCACTTCCTAGCTGATCCTTCCTTCTACCTTCTTTTTGGATGAGCTAGAAAACTCTCCAAACAAAAAGATGGGCGAAGTATCCACTCCCCATCCATTCAAAGCTTTTGCTCAGGACTCAAGCTGAAATGTAGCTTATCCTCTGCAACTTACTCCCTTCTCCTCCTCATTTTTGTTTTAAAGGAAAAGTTGAAAAAAAAAAAAAAAGAGTTGTGCACTTGTCCAGGTTGTTCCTCATGTCCCACCGGGTTAATATCTTTTCTGACATTTCAACTTAGCTTCCATCATTACAAGATGACCTGCCAAAATGGAGGAGGCAGCTTTGCATCATTCCCGCCATGGCTGCAGATGAGATTTCTACACAAGTAGCCTGAGATTTGCACCATTGGCTCCTCTCTACCTTCCCACCACAGCTTTCCCTTGGAGGGTAACATCACATCTTTGAGTGTATATCCTGGTACAAAAGAAGGGGCAGAGCCAGTTAGGTGTGGTGGCTTCCATCTGAAATCCCAGCACCTTGGTGGCAGAGGCAAGCTTGAGGCCTGGTCTATACAGTGAGTTCCAGGCCAGCTAGGGCTACATAGCAAGACCCTGTTTCATAAAAGAGGGCAGAATCACCCCATAGTGTGGGAAGATGATCGGGAGACACTCATTTAGTCCAGCTCTCCTACTGTAATAAAGGCTGATTAAAACTTAGGTTGTACTGAAGATAATTAGGATGCAATGTTCCCATCAAATAATGAAATCTGAACTGCACAGGCTGTGATGTCAAGTGCTGCTAGGTTAGGGACACCCAGTGAGATGCTGCAACTGGTGTCATTACACTGGGGACAGCAAACACAAAGCCAGCACGACTTCCTTCTGCGTCAACACACTCTCATTTCTACTTGGGGGAAGGAACCATACTAGATAATGTTTTATTAAAACACACTTTCAGCATCAGGCCCTGTTCTTAACAGCTAGGTCCACTAAAATATGACAGCTCTCACAGTCCCTAGTGGCCTTTGCTTTACTTTCTGTTTCATTAAGGACTTGATAAAACTCAAGTCAGGAACAATATTGGAAATGAAACAGGTATTTAAAGCTGGCACAGCAGCTTGTCAAAAATACCATAAGATAGTGTTTGAGTGGATTCAGATTTAGACTCAGGAAATTTCCCAATTGTGATAACTACAGACGTGAAATGGGGAGAAAGAGCGTCCCCTAAAGGGTTCTTAGTCTCATTCATAAAAGAATTTAAGAATCGACCAAACAGAAGCTTTAGGACAATATTATTGGAATTTTAAGGAAAATTCCCAGGACATATGAGCTGTTAATCTCACTAGCTGCCTTGAGGAGGAGAATGGAGGAGAGAAGGAAAGAAAGTCATGAAGCCATGCAGGTTTAGAGCCTGTATGGAGGTCAGACACATGGCTGACGGGCAGCAACATGGCTGGGAGAAGGAAACTTTGGAGAAACAGTGAAGAAATACAAGATGCTAGGGCAGCCCAAAGCATTAAGGAAAGCATGTCTAGAAAAGGAATAAGAAGAAAAGGAGAGATTATGCCTTTCTGAATTCTTCAGAAAAGCAGGCAGACTCACAGAGATGTTTGTGTCTACGTGTCTGTGGCCGGTGCAGAAGCACTGCTCTGGGAGGTGAGATTCCAGGCAGGAAAAGTTTACCATCTCATTAACGCACTAGGTATTTGGCCCATCTATTTAGCATAACTAGGTAACCTCCCTTCCTAGGGGTGGTCCTATAACCAGGTGATTGACCAGTGAGACTGGAAAGGTAGGTCTTCCAACAGACAGACTTCAGAGTCTTGACCAGTAAATTTTTTTTGGTCTTTTTAGGTCTGCTTCCTAAGTGCTGGGATTAAAGGCCTGCACCATCACACCTGGTCTTTGACCAGTTGATCTTATGGAGCTATTTGCTATTCTAACAGATCTACCTACCAAATTAAAAAATAAACAAACATTTGCTAATTTGCTAAAAGAGTCATAGAATGCCCAGGAAAATTATACCTTTTTTTTTTGTTGTTTTTCAGTGCTGGGGATTGAACTTAGCCCTTGTATGTGCTACTACTGAGTTAGGCCCCAGCTTTGAATATTATACTTAAAAAACCAATTCTGAATCAAATGTCGCATACCAGAAATGTATCACTAGGATGTGGGTGAAGCTTCCCTGCAGACAGGAACTAGCCCAACAAACACCATGGAGCGCTCTTTCACCGAAATACCTGAATCCAATAGTATCAAAGCCCATAAAACTCACCAAGTCCCATTCATGCTATGACAAGAAGTTAGAAAAGGAAATGGTGATTTACCACAAAAGGGGTCGGGGTGATGTCAGAGAAGAGGTGCACCGGAATCCTCTGGCTGATAAATGTGGTTGCAGCCAGTCGGGCAAACCTAGAAATACAATGACAGGAAGAAAAGGAGAATCAAGTGTCAGGCTGTGGGTGACAGAAAGAAGCAAACAAACTTTCACCCTGGGAACGAACTCAGGGTCTCATGCATGCCAGGCAAGCACTCTTGCAACTGAGCTACATCCCCAGCTCCATTCAACACTTCTTGAGGTTCATACCGAATCAGAGAAGGAACACATTTCTTTCTTTTTTTTTTGGGGGGGGGGTCTTTTTGAGACAGGGTCTCCCTGTAGCCCCAGCTGTCTTGGAACTCACTATGTAGACCAGGCTGGCCTTGGACTCACAGAGATCCGCCTGCCTCTGCCTCCTGAGTGCTGGGATTAAAGGCATGCACCACCAAGCCCGGCGAACACATTTCTTACAAATGTTCACATTGACATAGACATCAGGACATCAGGACCAAGGATAGTCAGAGTCATCTCATGCCACCCTCTGTGTATTATAAAAGTCCAGGCACCTCACCGTGCCACATGTCCAATGGCCACTGAGCATCTGAGCCAGGCCTGCATTAAAGTCCTTCAACTCTGTCCATCTCAGCTTACTTCAGTGGCTCTTGCTCGGGCATTACCCCTCACAGGGTATATTCAGTTGTCACCCTCAGGGGAGGAGATGTGCTACTGGCAATTGATGGGAAGAGGCCAAGGATGCTGCTAAACACCCTGCAATGCACAGGCAGTCCCCCACAACAAAGAACTGTCTAGCTGGTGTGACATCACACATCAGTATGCAGAGGCTAAGGTGCCATAGTCTATACCTATCACAATACAGCACAAACTCTAACTGGGTGTGTTTTGTTTGTTTATTTATTTTGGAAACAGGGTCTCACTATGCAGCCCTGGCTGGCCTAGAACTCACTATGTAGACCAGGCTAGCATTGAATTCACAGAGAATTCTGCCTCTGCCTCCTGAGTACTGAGATTAAAGGTGAGCACCATACCTGGCATAGGTGCTGTTTTGAAATAGAAGATAGATTGGTATGTGCATGCATGTGTCCACACACACACACACACACACACACACACACACACACACACATGAGATCTTGTTCTAATTAGCCTTTAAAAAGATTTTAAGTCTTTGACATTTTTTTCTGGCTCTTAGCAGAGTGTAGAACACATCATGTAATCTTTCTTCATTATTGGAATAAGGTACTCTATGAGCCATTTACTTCCAAATAACCACGATACCAGCCTGAATGTATTACTCATTCTCTCTCCAAATATTTCTCTCTCCTTTTTCATTTTTACGTGGGGCGGGGTGGCGGGGACATGTACCATGGTATATGTGGTAGTCAGAGGACATCTTGCAGGAGTTAATTCTCTTTCCACCCGGGGATCCAACTCAGGTCCTCAGGCTTGGTGGCAAGCACCCTCACCCACTGAGCCACCCTGCCAGCCACTGAGCACCAGTTTCGTTAAACACTATTCTGGGAGGCAGCAGGGACACAAAGAGGAGACCTCCGCACTTAAACAATAAGAGTTCCCGCCATTAATAATAATACAAAGCAATCTGACAGGTGAAAAAAAAAGTCTCTATATAGTAGAAAGTGATTTAAAAAAAATAGAACAAAATGCACCAAAATAATTTTAACAAAAGTATTAATAAAATCCAAACTCTATTCATTATAAGGCACAAAGTCAATTTCACATTTGTGACATTTCATCATGTCTTTAAGTGGATATCCAAGGCCACATCCCAAAGTTATCAATGGAGACAATACACACACACACACACACACACACACAGAGAGAGACACACGCGCGCGCGCACATGACATACATGATGAACAAATACCAAATATATTCAGTGTGTTTCTGTCTATGCTTAATAATTGTTGCTTATGTTCCCATCAGATACTTAAAATTAGCAGACTGAGAGACAAATAAATATTCCATTACTTAAAAATTTGTGACTGTAATACTTTTGTCTTCAGGAAAATTTATTTATTCATGATGAATGTGTTGCCATGTATTGGCTTAATATTTATATTATGACCTCCAGATGTCTTGTGTTTTGTTTGTGATAGAGCAGCCCTGAGCATCACTCTACCCAGCTCCAGCAGAGGGAGGAACCATAAACCCAAACAGCATTGGGAATGTCAGTTACTTGAAGCAAATGACATGACTCCAAGGGCAGAGCAAGGAGTATCTGTACTTGAAATGGCAGTGGTAGCAGATCTGAAAAGCAGCGGCATCAGCCACACAAACACATGCACTGTATGGAGGGTACTGTGATATCCCCACACTCAGGGTGTGCTTGTCATCCAATTTTAAAAGCACATTCACCACTGCAAACCAACAAGCTGATCCCTGGTCTAGTCTATGTCCCTCTTCTGCACATGCAGCTCACATGCACTCTTCCCCAGAGCTACAGCTTCTCTTCAGCTTCACTGACAAGAGTCACAGTTTTGAGCCTGCAAAGATAAAGAGCAAGATCCTTGTGCCCTTCTGAGCGCAGTCTGGGGAGGACGACATCAGAACTCTCCCCTGGCCCCACTCCCTTCTCCATGGCCACACGTTTGTCCTATCAATGCTTCTGTCACACTGGATGCTCCTGATGGGCCCAGAGGAGAGTCTATGAACTCATCTAGCACTGTAAAGCTGATGAGGCTGTTTGTTAATAATAAATAGCTGCGTGTTTTTCCAACATAAGGAATGATTGCTATACTCTGAATGATTAAAAATCACAATTATAAGGGAGTTTTCAAGTAACAATGAAGATTATAGACCATGCTTATGAGCAGGGATTAGTAAATTACAACTTATTTTGTAAATAAAGTTTTATTGGAACATGTTCATGTCCCCTCATCTGCATATTGTCTGTAGAAGTTTTGTGCTCTCTGCTCACCCAGCAGAGCTGACTAGTCATGAGGGACACTGCATAATACAAAATAAGCCCTTTAGAGAAAAGAAAATCTTCTGACCCTCACTGCCAACCCTGTTATGTTTAAGACATCTACACAAGGGACCCATCAGTCTGGGAATGTTACAGAGCCACAGCCTGAAAAGGGTGTGTAAGAAAGGGAGGAGCTGTAAAGCCCAAGAACAGTGGGGAAGAACTTACACTGAAGCAGGTGAGAGACTAGTTTAGCAATTTCTTTCCTTTGGTAAGTATTATATTTTAAACACCTAAATACCTATTTTCTTAACTCAAATATAAAATAAAAAAATTAAGAGCTATAAACAGAATTCAACCAATCATTTTTAGGACTTAGCAATTATGTATTTAGAGTCACATTATTAAGAAAGGGGGCTGGACAGATGACTTATCGTAAGAGCACTTTCTGCTTGTAGGAATGACTTATACAATGGACATAATCTGGACTAATGACTTTTAGTGAACCTTGGCAAACTCACTGAATCATGTGCTCTTGTGACCTGGGCACCTAATCTTGTCTCCTGGGAAACTCAATTTACTATTCTGCCCCAAGATAGGGAATGAATGTGGGTGTGCTTGATAAACTATCCAAGCCCTGAAATGCAGCAAGCCCATCTTCATTGAAAACATAATGACTGAGAAAGGATACTTGATATTTGTGTGTATGAGATACTCTAGAACTAGGGATTGAAAAGGCAAGATAAGGGTGGAGGGTGGATTGTAGCTTGTACTTCCCCAATTGAAGCTGCAGAAACCATTTGAATAAAATGAGGGTGAGGCCTGACTGGAGGAAAGAGTTCCAAAGACAGCTCCAGCAGCACAGTTCCAGAAGACAGTTCCAAGAGACATCTTGGGTATCCTCTGAGATAATAAAATTTTTTTTTTTTTTTTTTTTTTTTTTTGTCTTTTTGAGTCAGGGTCTCTCCTGTAGCCCCAGCTGGCCTGAAATTTGGCTATGAAGACCAGGCTAGCCTTGATCTCAGAAATACACTTTCTTCTGCCTCCCAAGTGCTGGGATTAAAGGTATGCACCACCACACCATGCTCTGGGCCCACTCTTAAAAACTAAGAGTCAACTGCTTTATTCAGGTAATTGTAATGCTGGCATAATAATGCCACAATTGCTGAGGTGACTTACAACCACCTATGGCTCCAGAGGCTCTGACTCCCTCTTCTGGCCTCTACAGGTATCTACACACACATGCACATACATAGACACTGACCCATACAGATACACATAACTTTTAAGACTCTTAAAAGTTTTTAAAAGGTCAAGTTATGGAAATGATAATTAAAATAAAAGCATAAAATCAATTACCAAAAAATCATTTTCTGAAGTGTGTCTGGTTGTACCCCCAGTATTCCCCACAGATCTGCTTACCTTCTACTGCAACCTCCACTGGGGGGGTGAGCTCGTGCGTCAAAGCTGATCACAACACCCCTCTGCTTCAGGTCACTAAACTGCTGTTCCAGGTACCTGCAAAATCCCTGAAATATTCCAGAATTTAATTAAACAGACTGAACAAGACGCTGATAGCTTTCTTTACCATCTATGCTACATCAGGTGCTGTGCTGGGCAGCTAGAATTTATTATCCCTAGGTCCAGATCAGCTTGCTATGAAATTCCATTTTATTGATGGGAACACAGGGAAGAGTACAGACCTTCCCAGTTTGAGTAACAAAGCCTGGTTTGTATCCATGTCTGGTGAGAGGTGGTTCAGTATGTGGGTAAAAAATATATGTTGTGCTGGGCGTGGTGGTGCACGCCTATAATCCCAGCACTCAGGAGGCAGAAGCAGGCAGATCTCTGTGAGTTCAAGGCCAGCCTGGTCTACATAGTAAGTTCCAGGACAGCTGGGCCTACAGGAAGACCCTGTCTCAAAAAAGACCCAAAAAAAATTATATATGTTGTAGGGCCAGAAATGGAATTGAACTCCACTCTGTCACCTATAAGCAAAAGACAAGCTCTTCAGTTTCCTGATGCCATAGTTTTCTCTTCTGTAAAACATTGACATCAATAATACATAGCCTATATAGCTTTTATGAGACTAAAATGAGGGCTGGAGAGATGGCTCAGCAGTTACGGCTGTTTTTACAGAAGACCGAGGTTCAAATCCCATCACCCATGTGGCAGCCAACAACTATCCATGCCTCTAGTTCCAGGGGCTCTGACAGCCTCTTCTGTACTCTGCCAGCATTGTGTGACATATGTGTGCTACATACATGCAGGCAATACATGCATACACATAAAATAAAAATAAATAAAAATTTAAAAGTATGTAATTATGAGACATAATAGCATTAACAAATAAATTTTCCATCTGTTGTGAGACTTCTTTTCCTGGGGGTGCTAAGCAAGGCTTATTCCCTTTGAAGATTCTATTGTCGAGCCAATGTTTGATTAAAGTTTTACTGGGGAACCAATGAGTTTATGGAGCTTACTTACTGAGATAACTGAGGGGTTACTGATGTGTATGTACGACCTGAGGGTATGCACACTGGAAAGCCTTTACCCAGCATGGGTCATGC